TGAAAAACAGAAGAAAGGCTCTATGCCCAGTATAGGAAAAAGGAACTCAACAAAATTCTAACTGGAAGAACTCAAAGCCTAGCAATAAATGGAGCCTGAGCTGTTCCCAGAGGGAGGAAAAAGGAATCTATTTCCTTGCCTCTTTCAGCTTCTCGAGCCTGTTTCCTGAGTCTCCTGGCCATGTCCTACTTCATCTTCAAGCCAGGAGTTACATTTAACAGCCCTGCAGCATGCACAGCGCATTCTCCACATTGAGCCCCTTGAGCGTTTCTTACATAAACCCTTGTGACTGCACTGGGCCCCAAGGAACCCAAGTCATTTCTCCACCTGAAAACCTGAACTTAATAATCAGTAAAAGGGGATGGAGGGATGGTTCAGCAGCTAAGCGCACTGGCTCTTCTTCCAAAGGACCCGGGGTTCAATTCCCAGCACCCACATGGCAGTTCACAACTGTCTGTAACTCCAGTTCCAGGGGATCTGGTATCATCGCACAGACACACATGCAGGCAAAACCACAATGTACATAAAAAAATAAATAAATCTTTTAAAAACTAATATCATTAAAGTCCTATTTGCCCCAGATCCCATATTCGCAGGTTCTAAAGATTAGCACATGGATATCTTAGAGAGAGCAATTACTCTGCCCTCCACATGTACCAAAGGATGGCTCATCACAGAGAGAAATTTCTCATAAAGCAAAGAAGATGCTAATGCCTTAAACAGGTAACAAAGTAAGAGCATGTAAGAGCAACAGGTAACAATTACTATAAAGCACCTTCTTCATGTAAAGTACATCTCCTGAGGTAGGTTTCTTTTGGAATATAAGAAAATAGCTAGCCCATTACAAAGCATTATAACATTTGTCTGTACTATGCTAAACAGTATAAGGGGATGGCAGAAAAGAAAGAACATTAACTGTAAAATCTTAATGTAATTGGGGAACATTCCAATTTCCCAGCAGGAAATGGCCCAATGCCAAACTCTTTCATTGCTCTGCTCAAAATTATGGTTCAAAACTATTATCTCTGCTTTATTCTTTGATATCTCCAAGTCTACATATACTAATAAGAGTCTCCAGTTTTTTCAAAAATAGATTAAAAATCCAGATATGATCAAGTTACAATATTTCAAAAAATAATGAAATAAGGATTATGCCATTCACAAAAATGCAACATCAAAATTTTTTATGTTGATATACAATCACCAGAATGAATGGGTGATCTATAGAATGTGAAACAATCTTTGCCATTTATACATTAGACAGGTGATTAATGTCTAAAATTAATTTAAGTGCAAAATTAAACATACACAATGTCACCCAATCAATAAATGAGTTAACAGACCAAAGAGACAGTCTCAAATAAAAGAAATATAAATGGCCAATAAGCATTTGAGACAAGGTTCAATATCCTTAGCTGTCAGGAAAATGCGATTTAAAACTGCTTTGAGGCAGAGTCTGGTTAGTCCCAATCAGAATGGCTACCATCGCGAAAACAAAGGCTGGTGAGGTTTGGGGGGAAGAGTTCCTTTACCCAGCTGGTTTGAGAAATGTAAATGAATACAGCCACCATGAAAATCAATATGGATTTGATTTGAGGCTACTCAAAAAACTGAAAAGAGAACTATGATATGCTCCAAGTATGCCACTCCTAGGTATATCATATATTCAAGAACTTTAAGTCAGCATACCACAGAGAAATTCTGCATCTTTTTGCATGCATGTTTATTGCTGCTCTATTTAATCACTAAGAAATGGAATCACTTTGCATACCTATCAAAAGATGAATGGATAAAAGAAAGTAGTATATACAGTGGAATTTTATTCAGTCATAAGGAATAAATGGAAAATGCACAGAGCTGAAGGTCATTCTGTTAAGAAAGATAAGCCAGACTCAGAATGACAAATGCCATGCTTTCTTTCATTTGCAAAATCTAGATGCAAATCTGTGTGTGGGAAGGTCATGAAAGTGGAAGAGGAAAAGTAGAAGAAAAACTCTTTGAGAGAATGAGAGCAGAGGGGACTAGCAAGAGAAAAGCACAGAGGATGCTGGGGGAGTGGAAGATGGGGTAAACAAGAACAAAGTATAATGACATATATGTATGAAAATGTCATAATGAAACCTATTACTTTGTATGCTAACTGTGAATTTTAATTATAGGAAGGAAAAATCCAGATATATTGTCTTCAGCCCAGAGCAAGTGGTGATTTTGAAGGCATCACTGAGAATGTCAGTATTTAATGGAGTTGTTAGAAGGCACAGAATCCATCTCTTTGCTTCCATAGAAAAGATTCCAGGGTCCAGCAGCAAGCGGTGAGTGGTAACAGGAGCAGCTCTATTACACTGAGCTAGCTGATGGCAACGTGCAGGATCAGTGAATCGGAAGGGCTAGCTTTCTTGGAGGCTGATCTAAGGTGGTTTCTATGGGAGATAGATGACTTCATAATGGTAAATAGCTTCTCACAGACAGGTGTATGGTCAGATGATGAACCTCTGACCCTAGTCCCTGAGAAAGAAATACTTCTCAGTTCTGCAAGTGTCAGGAGCAAAGATCATCCTTTCCTTGGCCTATTCTTGTCACTGATTGGTGTGCTACCAATATACACTGGATGAGCTACAGGAAGGAGCTGCCCTGAGAGCCTCCCACTGGTCATCAATTTCACAGTCATGAAAGAAAACACTGCAGCTGATCATTGAGGAAGACTGGGGTCAGCAGGACCTTTTCACAATAATTCATCCTGACCGTCATCAGCTTCACCTCCTAAAGTATCTCTTTTCTAAGCAAAGGCATACCCACACACCTCTCCAAGCTCACAACTCTCAAAGAGCAATCCGGGATGTTCTAACATTCATATATTTGTTTCAGAGAGTTAAGACATCCCACAATGTCCTCATGGACAGAGTTCACTTTCAATCCAATTAATCTCTACTGAAGCAGTCATATTCATAGAAGATTCAAGTATTGCCTGTCTGTGGGCATCCCAAAGGAAGCCACAGATCTGAAGAAATGGTTTCTTTTGAAGAATCCAAACAAGACAAAATTGAAAAACAAGAATATTTTAAATAATGATTTTGTTCTGTCAAAACCTGAAAGATCTGTTATTCTAGTCACTAGAAATAACTTAGCATTTGGGAATTAGCAACTGATGAACTCCTCACTACTCGATTAAGCTTAGTTAGATCTTAATACTTTCATTTTGGAGATCTATTAACAATGCTTCGTTTTTTTCTTCTCTTGTGTTTCAGTGTATTAAAAGGGCTCATTAAACAAGTAATATCATTTAACAGTGATCTCCTGAGTCCCAAAATGAAGGTTTCTGTCTTTTAATTTCTGAAGATGCTCGGTCAAACAATTAAGCCAACCCCACTTAATGCAGTTAAGTCATCTTCTTCCCAAGAGCTCATGAACAAGAAATTATCACGGGCTATAAGGTGGAAAACCCCCAATATCAATCACATCCTCTGTCATGTCACAGAATCAGCCTGGCTTGTAAACTTCACAGCTCAACACAGTCTCCCCTGACCAGTGATGCAAGGGCAACTAAGCCCAGCAACGCCAAGTCTGCTTGGGCTACTTCCAGTCCCAACGGGGGCCACTGTGCATCTTTTTTTCGTGTTTTATCTGAACTCCTCAGATCAATTTTTGAAACATGCTTATGGTCTACTTTCTAATTATGTCCTTCTTTATTTGCAGCACTAGAGATAAAGCCCAGGCTCTGAGACACGTAGAAAGGCAATCTATATCCACCGTAGAGGGGCAGGAACCTTCTCACAGGTGGAGGTTTGTGACAAATGATGTATAGCTAATCCTAAAGGCCTAGACTTGCTTTTCAGGTGTGCAGATTTCAAAAACAAAATCATTACAGGCAGGCGGGCAGACAGTGTTTAGCCTGGAAGCCTGTTGGGGGGCTCCTGGCACACGTCTAGCTGGTTTCTTTGTCTTCTATTCAGACTAATCTAGTCTTAAGCCTTGCTTTTTCCAGTTCTACTGTAGTCAAATGACAAGTATTCCTACCTAGAGCCTGGTTAGAGGAAACTGAAGAGCGCTGTCCCGGTTTCTGTAGATGTGACTACAAAGCACCTCAGAGGGGAGAGGACTTTAGCTTACAATCGCAGGTTACAGTTCACCATGGAAGGGAAGTCCCAGAAGGAGGAAGGTGAGCAGTTAGTCACACTGCACGCACAGCGGGGAGCAGAAAGGACTAAGGATGCATGTTTACATGTGCTCAGATATCCTTCTCTGCACTGCAGAGTCCAGGATCCTCTACTTACAGAATGGGACTGCCCACAGTGGGCTGGATCTTCCAGTACCAACTAACATTAGCATCCAAGACAACTCTCCACAGACATACCCACCCGCCAACCTCATGTGGACAACCCCAGGTGACTCACGGTTGTGTCAAGTGGACAGTTAAAACTAACCGTCATGACCTTGAACTTTTTAGTTGTTTGTTTTTGGCTCCTAGGACAGGGTCTTGGTATGGATGCAAGGCAGGTGGCCTCAACCGCATGATCCCTCTGCTTCAGTCTCCACAGGGCCAGCGTTAGTCTTGTGCCACCACACCAGACTGACTAACCTCAAACCGTTTTACAATCGAGAACTTTTAAAGTTTGAAACTGACAATTTACAGCCACTTTCAACCCCAGAAAATGCATAAATGCTTTATCTCCACCTCTCAGCTACATCTCAGTTAGTTAAACTTCGGTAAAAATTGACGATAAAACTGTTTCAACTAACACTTAAAGAGATTTGTTTCAACCCTCATTATATTATTATTTTTCATTCAAAACCTAATTTTTCAGTTAAGAATTACCTGAGACATAATTATTCATTAAACAAACAATTCTGTAAAATAGTACTTCATGGACCAAATCCTAACAGATAGTTTGATTTTTTTTTTTTTTTTTCCTGAATCTTTACAATGGAAAACCGAGAGAGCACACATGTAAGCTAGAGATTCCTCAAGACTGTGGAAGACGAGACTGGGAACAGGAGCCCACCTGGTTGAAGGAGGAGTCACTGTCGGAGCAATTGTCCGTACAGCAGCTGCCGCTCGTGTCCTTCTCCATCTTCCTCTGTCTGTCCTCACTCCGTGTCTCATCGTCTTCAAACTTGTTGATCATCGACTCCACCACCACCATCATGATGGTCTTCAGGGAGTGCATCATGTCCTTATACCTTTAAATCCAATGGACACTCAATAAGAGACCTCGACACTCAAGTACGCTTTCTTTTTTCTATGAAAAGGAAAATTCTTTCAGAACATAATGCTGACAAGGAAAAATCTAAGTTTCCGTTTCATGAAAAGGGCAAAACAGGCTGATGAAATGGAAATAAAGAATCCCCAAAGCATATTATTTCTCACAATTTCTCATCTAGAAATATGAAGTAATGTGATAAAAATCAACGTAATTCTAAGCCAAGCTGTCCCGGTGACATGCGTTCCTGTTACCAGAGACACAATCAAATGTTCACAACACGCTTCCAAAACCCACTTCACGTCTGTCCCTCACCACATTTCTCTCTTCTCACCTCCCTTCCCGTCTTTCTTCATACCCATGGGCCCCCACAGGCCCAATTGAGACCTATGTTTTCTCAGTATCTAAGTAGGAGTTAGGCACTCAGCGTGTGCTTTCAAAGAAAAGCCACAAAACCAATGGTCAGGAGTGGCAGGACACAGATTCCTGAAGTAAGACTAAAAACTGGAAATTTTCTAGATTCCCCTCAGCTCTATAAGTCTAAAATGTCTCCAAGAGAGGAAATATAATTTTTAAAAATTTATAATTTTATTTTTGCTTTATTATTTTGTGTGTATGGGTGTTTTGCATATGAGAAACAGAGAGAGATGTATCTATAAATTCAATGCAGGCCTGGCCTATAAAGAAAGTTTCAGGCCAGTCAGTGCTACATATTGAGACTATGTCTCAAACAAGCAAAGAGCTGTTCTCTCCTTTCACAGCAACTGGATAATAGCTGAACTTTGCCCTCAGCATCTTTTGTAGTTAGGTGTGTTCACATGCGCATCATGATTTCTCTATTCCTTTTAAATTTACAATTTGGTGACTTAGGTGGATGTAGTGAGGTCTGCATGTAATCCCAGTCCTCTACGTGGAGACAGGAAGATTTAGTTCAAGTCTGCTTCAAGAGAAGAAAGTAGAAAGAAGGAAGAAGAGAAGGAGGATGGAAAAAAGAGGGAGGAAGGACAGACAAGGAGGAAACGTGGTAAGACAGACAGACAATTTGGCAATTTAATGAAAAAGTATGAAATGTACAACATGAAGATTATTTCATCCACTGAATATATGAAATTTCCACTTGGACATAAATGTTTCTAACAGGCATTTTATTAAAAGGCTCCCATGAATTCTTCTGTAAGAACTACCATGAAAATGGTCAGAAGGGAAAAAGGGGTAATGATCTTTTAAAAACCTAAGTAGCTGATCATCAATATCAAGGGTTAAACTGACTGGAATGCAACATCTGCCACTGCAGCTTTTAGAAAGCAAAGGGAAGCAGATAAAGACTATAGATACCATCTACACATTCCTATAATGCTTCAAGAAATATTCAAATAAAGGCCAGGAAAGTAAAAAGCTTCAAGAAAAGAAAATAGCAATGGAATCTGCCCACGTGCTTCCAAACTCACTGAATAACACAAGAGACCTGAAAGGAAGCTCTTCCATGTGCCGGTATTAAATAAATAAACATCAAAACGTTTAATTAGTGAAATGGCTTATAATTATCACAATAGAAATGTACTGTGGCCACATGAGCTCTAAGTAACTTTTTCAAGGACCACAAAAAAATTACTTCTACGAAAATAATACTCTGTACAACTTAGAGTCTATCATCTATAGCTCAAAAGGGCACAAGACATCATTCATTAAGTAGTTTCAAGTCTTTGTGAAGTAATGATTACTGTTTTAAATTTTATGTATGGATGAACTAAAGGACAGCGGAGTTAAATAGCTTACCCAGACATGTTTTTAAATAATTTCCTAACAAGATCATCTAAAACTCAGTACTTATCACTAAAATACTCCCATTATCTGATTAAGTTTAGTATTCTTGTTGGAATAAGCTGCTAGACACAAACCACTAGGTATTAAAGTATTGTCCAAAGAGGGACAGAATTCCTGTATTTTTCTATAAAATAAGAAATAAGACATTTTAGCCAGGCATAGTGGTACATGTCTGTAATCCCAGCACTCAGGAGGCAGTGGATCTTTGTGAGTACAAAGCCAGCCTAGTCTACAAAAAGAGTTCCAGGCCAGCCAGAGCTGTTACACAGAGAAGCCTTATCTTGAAAAACCAAAAATTAAAAAAAAAGAAAGAAATTTTAACTTTATTGACTCTACTCCCTATGTTAGTGGTTTGAACTAGCTATTTATATCTATATACTGCCATTTCATTCCAATAAATAACACTTGTCACAAGAGAAACAGAACTCCTGCCCAGACTAAATTTTTTAAGCTTAGTTTAAAAATAAATTAGAATTAATGCTCTATAATACAACAGATAATAAATACTCAAGCATAAATTCCAATATCTCTAATACTGGGGTTGGCAGAATACTATCTGTGGTGGTGTTTTAAAACAGAATGGCCCCCATGGGCTCATGTATTGAATTCCTTGGTCCCTACCTGGTGGAATTTTTCACAGCAAAAGAAAAGTAATTAAGATATTTAATTGACCTAAATTGACTTTCCACTAAATAAAATTTTACTGAAACACATGCACATTCTTTCTACTATATATTATTTATGGTTGCTTTTATATTGTTGATAAATATACAGTTAGTAAAACCTAAAGTGCTTACTGTATGCCCCTTTATAAGAACATCTGCCAACCCCTGCCACAAGGGATGATGGAGTAACACAGTGAAGGGTACCTGCGACCCTGGAGAACAGTGAACAGCCTCACCCACCCATACATCACCTGTGTGCTCCTGGGGAACGCAGGTGCGTTTTAGTATAGCTATTCATTATATATTTTGCCTAATATATCTCTTCCTTAATATTTCCATACAGCCCTTTGCATACATCATAGCATTTAGCACACAGAATTGAAACTGTTTAGTTTCCATTTCAGAGCAGTGTCAAGCTCCTCTCTGTACACTATGGATATGTGAAGGGTAGAAAACATCGCATTCCTCTTCACAGTACACCATACTGTAGTTGCTCGTTCAATGTATGAAGAGGATTTGACATATAAAGAAAAAAAAAAGAGTTATTACTAAAGACACAGTCACTTTCAGTCTGCTTTCCTCAAATGAAATTTGAGCCTGCGCACATTAACAAAAAAGAGAAGTATATCTCATAAGTTTGGAGGATCACAAGCTGGCACCAGTTTCTGCCCAGCTCTGGTCCAGACCTCATGGTAAAGGGCACACAAACAACAAGATTGCTTGAGAAAAGGATAACATGACAAGAGCAGAAGCCAGCGGGTAGGGAGGGGACTGTTGCTTTTTATAACATCTCTGTCTAGCTTTTTCTCTATGGCGAGCATGCATGCTTGCTCTCGCTCACTAAAACTCAGTAGGGTTAAGAACCGCCTTAATCCCCTGAGACTCCATCTTCAGTGACCTAATTGTCTTGTATTTAGCCTCTCTTCAGGGATCTACCACCTCTAATTCTGCCACACTGGGAACCAAGCTCCTAACGCTGTTTGAGAATAAACAACATTCCAGGGATTGTAATTTGTAACATAGAACTGACTGTAGTGGCAAATAAAATACTTTAATTTCATTAACAAGTATCTATTTAGCATCTATAGTAAACAAGGCACTTTCAAGGTATTAAGATACAGAAATAGAAAAAAAATTAGATAAAAAATTTATCTTTGTAGGCCAGGTGGCGGTGGCGCATGCCTTTAATTCCAGCACTCAGGAGGAAGAGCCAGGCGGATCACTGTGAGTTCGAGACCAGCCTGGTCTACAGAGCAAGATCCAGTACAGGCACCAAAACTACACAGAGAAACCCTGTCTCAAAAAAAAAAAAAAAGAAAAAAAATTATCTTTGTAGATCACCCATCCTATCAAGGAATAAGAGGAAGAGGGGAAGGTTATTGGTTTGTGCAGAACAGAGAAGAAAATGTCTTAAAAGGAAGACTGTGAACTAAGAGGCTCCCAAATTGTACGTTAAGTCATAAAAACTAAGGAAAAGGCACTCTACAGGAATCCAACATGAGGACATTCCTGAGAGATGTGCCCACTTGACTGTTTAATAAAGAGCAAGACCAGCGCAGTGGGAGAAGTGTGGGAAGGAAGGTGGCAAACAGGTCAGGAGAGTGTACGGACAGCTCACGGCCAGCCTTGTGGACTGCACACAGAGCCCCGGGTTCGCTCTGTAGAATGTGAGGGACATGGCTTGGGAGTACAGTCAGGAAATCCCAAGGAAGTATTGGTGTGGAAAGAGCAGCAGAAACGGGAGGGCAGCGTGCTCCTCACACACACCTAGCCTGCACAAGTCTGCGATCCAAGGGAACTAGCAGAAAAGGACTTATAACCTCCCCTCCCCCACACACCAGAGACCCCAGAACACTGAGGCTGCAGAGACCAAGGGGTCCACCTCCCCCTTCCCCACACAGCACCATGTGGAAGCTGCCACAGCCAGAGGGATCTGAGACCCTCACCCATCAGATCAGTGCAGGTGTGCCAACAAGTCACTCTTCTTATTTCTTATTCTGTGTTACTTAACTTCCACTTTTGTATACGCCTTGTGATGGTTTTGCTTTTGCTTGTATAGTGCTCTGTTAAGTTGGGGGACACCTGCTTATGTCTCTCTACCCGGCTTACCGTTCAGATACATCTCCCAAACTCCCACACACATTGCTGCCTCTTTTCTTCTTTCTCCACCCTTATCCATTTCTCTTTTTACTTCTTAACCATAACCTCCCACAGCTTTAATAATCTCTAAAATCTGTGGACTCTACCAGTATCCCATCCTTCCCTTCCTACCCATTTTACCCACCTCAATGTTTTTCTTTTCAAAAGAAATCCAAGACTTAAACCTTGTCTTTATATATCCCACTTCCCTCCCAATCCTAACCTTACTAACTAAAATCTTCGTAGACTCCACACTGTCTGTCCCTGGGTGTTTACAGAAGACAGTATGGAAGTACAGAAGACAAGGGGAGCCTAGTACTAATCGCCCAGCACAAGATTCCTACAGTGGTAATACCAAGCAGTTATGGTTGTTACTGCAGTTACTGTCCTACTCAAAGAAAAACATAGAGTTTTGATCAGACACCCTGAGTTCCTGTGCTGAGCAACTGTATTCCAAACTACACACTCAATTCTGCCACATACAAGTCAAATACTTCAATGGACAGGAGTATCACTGATGCAAAAAAATAAACCATCCTCAGAACTAATAGCAGATGGCATTAACAGCACCGTGTGGAAGCTGCCACAGCCAGAGGGATCTGAGACCCTCACCCATCAGATCAGTGTAGGTGTGCCAGCAATCCATTCTTTTTATTTCTTATTCTGTGTTACTTAACTTCCACTTTTGTATACGCCTTGTGATGGTTTTGCTTTTGCTTGTATAGTGCTCTGTTAAGTTTGGGGACTCCTGCTATGTCTCTCCATCCAGTTTACCAGCGCAGTAACGTAAGAAACACAAAGCAGGACAAGATGACTCTCCCAAAAATCACTAAGACTGCAGTGATGGCATCTGGTGAGAAAAACAGGAAGTCACAGGCAGAAACTCAGAGGAATGATCATAAACACAGATGTGAATATGTGTGTATTCAAAGAAGAAAATGAGCTTCTCGTTGAGAATACAACCAGCTGGATGAAATACAGCAGGTACTGCAAGATATGAAAGAGCAATTCCATAGAGATAGAAATACTGAATAAAGAGGATATCGGAAATGCTAGAAATGGAAAACACGGTAAATCAAATAGAAAGCTCTGTGGAAAGTCCCCCAAATAGGATAGATCAAGGAGAGAACACAGTAACGGAACGAGAACACAAAGTTGGGGAACTGCAGCAGCAAACAAGGAAAAGAATAAAACAGTGAGTCCAGGTGAGAACCCCAAGATATACACGACACTCTAAGATGCCAATCCAGGAAGACACGGGAGGTATTGAGGACACCACACAGACAAGACCAGAAAAGAACCTCTCATCATCATCACATTATAGTTACACTAAATATACAGAACACAGAGAGTACACAGGAAGCAACAGGAGAAAAACACCAAATCATGTACAAAGACGAGCCCATCGGAACAACAGCGGATTATTCAACTAAAGCTTTAAATCCAGAAGAGCCTGGACAGATGTCACGTTCTCAAAGACAACTGCCAGTCCAGACTACTGTCCCTCTAAAGCTATTTGTCATAAAAATCAGGAGCATCTACTTGCTGCCTCTGAGAACACCAGCTCACCATAAAGGTGAAAAGATGGGAAAAAGTGTATCAAGGAAATGGGCCTAGGAAACAAGCGAATGTCACCACTCTAACGTCTGATGCAGCAGACATCAAACCCAAACTAATGCAGATGAGCACGTCATTTCATAACGATAACCTTAAACATCCATTCCCAGAACAGAGATGCCTTCAGTTTCATAAAATAAACATTGTTAGATGCAAAGTCACATTAGTGACAGGTGACTTCAATAGCCCACTCTCACCAACTGACAATTCCTCCCTAGAGCAACAACAACCACCACAACAACAGAAACAGACAAATTAGATGACATCATAGATAAAATGGAGCTAACAGATATCTTCAGACACTCAATGCAAATGCTGCAGAACATGCATTCTTCTCGGCAGGCAATGGAAATTTTTCAAGAATAGATCATATGATAGGACACAAAGCAAGTCTCAATAAAGACAGGAAAACTGAAACCATTCCTTGTGTTTTCTCTCTGATCACAATGGAATATAAATACAAGTCAACAGCAATAAAAACCCTAGAACATGCCAAGGGGTGGTAGCATACGCCTTTAATCCCAGTATTTGGGAGGCAGAGACAGGCAGATCTCTGTGAGATTGAGGCCAGCCTCGTCTACAGAGCGAGTTCCAGAACAGCCAGGACTATTATATAGAGAAACTTTGTCTCTGTAACCACCACCCCCAAAAAAAAAAACCCAACCCTAGAACATATATGAACTCAGAGAGATAATACAATACAATACACCACAGAATGATGAATGAGCATTAAAGAAATCAAGAAAGAAGTAAAAACTTCCTAGAATCAAATGAAAATGAATACAAAGCACAACAAAATCTATACAACACAATTAAAGCAGTCCTAAGACAGAGGTATATAGTTCTAAGTACCTAAATTAATAAATCAGAGAGATCTCAGATAAATGAATTATGTACTTTACAAACAAAAAACAAAGAACGAGTCACACCCGAAATCAGTAGATAGAAATAAATCATTAAGATCAGGGGAGAGAAGTACTCACCAACCCCTAACCCTGGCTAAACAACTACTGACAGCTGGTGGCTTCTGGGAGAAAAGCAGCTTTCTTTAAAGCTGTGACCCCAGGTAGGTCCACCATGCTCTAGTAGATGGTCCCACATCCATATATGGGTGGCACTAATTGTACTCAATGGGGTCATGAAACAAACAACAGGACCAGAAGTTAAGCCTGGAAGGATGAGGGGGGTGGATCTAGGATGAGTCAGGCACAGAAGTGGGGGTAAATATGATCAAAATCCATCACGCACATAGGAAATTCTCAAGCAGTAAATGAACACGTGTTCTTAAAAGACCAGGGCAGAAATTAATAAAGTTAATGAAGAGTTGTTTCTTTGAAAAGATATACAAGACTGACAAACCCTTAACAAAAATAAAGAAAGAGAAGACCCAAATTATTAGGTCTTACCTTGAAAACATCATCTACTAAAACTGGAAAAAATCTAAAAAAAGTAGGTAAGTTTCTAAATGCATGTGACCTACAAAATTAAGCCAAGATGAGGTAAACAATTGAAAGAGTTCTGCAACAAGCAGTGAGGTTGAGACAGTAATTAAAAATGCCCCAACTGAAGAAAAGTTCAGGCCCAGCTGGACTGATTCACTGATTCACTGATGAATTTCATAAAACCTTTGAAGAAGAACACCACTGCTTCTCAAACCATTCCATAGACTAGAAAAGGTGGGAACACTACCAAACTTTTTTTTACAAAGCTTACACATTGAAGAAAGGACAACATCTTCAAATGGGGCTGGAAAATTGAATTCCTCCATTTAGAAGAAACTACATACATATAAATGCATATATATATGTATATGTATATGTGTGTGTGTGTATATATATATATATGTGTGTGATATATATATATATATATATATATATGTGCACAAAAGTCAACTACAAATAGATCAAGGACCTCAACAAAAGACCTGATTCTCTGAAACTGCTAGAGGGAAATGTACTTCAAGATATATACAGAGGCAAGGATTTTCTGAATAGGACTTGAATCACTCAGAAAATAAGGCCAGTATCTACATCTAAGGTTTCATGAAATGTAAAGGACAGGAAATTGCCAATTAAGAGACAGCCTACATAATGGGAGAAATCTGTCAGCTATATATCCTACAGAGGATTAGTATCTAGAATATAAAAAGAATTCAACAAACTAAACATCAAAACAAACAAGTAGTCCAAAAAGAAAAAAAATCAGTCATGAACCCAAACAGAGTTCTCAAAAGAAAAAAAAAACACAAATGTCTAATAAATACTTTAAAATGTTCAACATTGCTAGCTACCGGGGAAATGTAAAGTAATGCTACTCTGAAATTCCATCTCAGCCCTTTCAGAACAGCTATCATCAAGAAATCAAATGACAACAAATGCTGGTGAGGATGCGGGCGAAGAGGAACCTTGATCCACCTTGCCCACCATTAGCAGGAATGCAAACTGGTGCACCCACTACGGAAATCAGTGTAAAAATCTTCAAAAACCTAAAAATAGAACTACCATAGGCTGCAGCCATGCAACTTCTGGGCATATACCCAAGAGACTCTCTATCCTATTGCAGAGATATTTGTGCATCCATATTCACTGCTGCTATATTCACAATAGCTAGGAAATGGACTCAGCCTAGATGTCTAACAATTGATGAGTGGATAATGAAACTATGATACCTATATACAATGGATTTTTATTCATCTATAAAGAAAAAGAGAATTTTTGGGAAAATGGAACTGGGAAATACTCCATTAAGTGGCGTTTCTCAAACCAACAAGAAAAGCACCACGTGTTCTATCGTATGTGCATCCTAAGTTTTCATTTTTAGAACTGAGATCTTGATTTGGGGTGTCTCCAGAGGTCAGGAAGTTAGAGAGAGTCTGGGAGAAAGGGAAATTAGAGGGCTGGCAGGGTGAGGAGATACATATATTATAAAATACAAATGTAATTATTATGTCATACTCACTCTTTCGACTCCTGGGTTCTCTTGGTAACATGCTGTACCACAGTGTCATAACCAGATTCCTCACCCTGATTCTGATCAGATGTGCACTTTTCCATTTCTTCTTCAATCATAGATCCCAACGTGTTACATATGTGCTGTCTAAGGTATTTCACAAATTCATAGCTGAAACAAACGTAGAAATAAAACATAGTAAATATCAGTCTCACTTATGAACAAGATGCAAGGAATGTAGCACACAAAGGCCTGTAACATGCAAAGATTTCTTGCCTTGTTATTAAGAAAATAAGTAACAAATGGTAGCAAGAAGTCTCCAGTCCTTGAATCTATCTTATTCATTGGGGGAGTTAAGGCAGGGGAGCAGGGTTCCTGTATGTAGCTCAGGCTGGCCTCTAACTCAAAATCCTTCTGCATCAGCCTCCTCCATCCTGGGATTACAGGTGTAAACCACCATGCCAGCAAGTTCTGTATCTCAGACTGACCAATCCTCCTGCTTAAGGAAATACCTGACCAACTGACCTTGGTACAATCCAGCCACATTACTGAATGGAAGTGAGAATCCTAACGTAGAAACAGTTTACTGCATGGTATTTCCTTATGCTTTTATATTTTTCTTGCAAAATAGGTCATATTCATACATACATACATTGTATATACACTGTTACTTTAAAGATAAATTGAAAAAATTTTAAACTTCCTTTCAGTGATAGCAGAAACATTTTTTTTAACATATTCTCCTCCAGCTGAGGGTAGAGCCCAATTTTAAAAACAAAAAAAAAAAAGGTAGATAAAGAAATAAAAGTCCTAAAAGATACACATCTGAATCTCACAGAGTATTCTTTGCTCATAAGGAAGGATACCTGGAAGTAATCACATCCCTAAGCAGCTCAAGGTACACTGCAATAATCCTCATTGTTTCCTGACTAATGAAAGCCTTTGTGCTTGCATGGGAAAATGTTACTAAACTAAGGAAAGACATTCACCTTTCCACTCTTCCTTCTCCAGTGTTATTACCTACACTTCCCAGGAAAACCCAGTGATTGTTTTTCCATGGTGAACTTGTGACTTTCTCAGAACATTGATACAAAACCACAGAAAACCAAAAACTATATTTTATAATGTCATATATCATATTTATATGCTAAGGACATAAAGTATGTATTCTCTCCCTGTCCCCTTCTACAGGCCTCAAGTATTTTCTGCCATATTAAAGGAAGGGAGGAGAACATGGAACTTCCAGAAAACTACATACAGCTTAGAGAAGGGGCTGCTGAAGAACGGGATAGGCTGGCATCTCTACGTGTCAAATCTCTGGGATGGTATTGTCTATATTAGTTTCTCCTCCAATGACCACACTGTCTCCCACTTTGGTTTATTATACCTGAAATTACATTATTTACTGACTCAACTGTCTCTGGCACCATCTTCTTATAAAAATGCTCATAATCCAGAAACTCATATCCCATATAAGCTTTTTAAAATGTGGAATGATAAAAGGGAGAGATAATTGCAGACCTTAGAAATATCAAGGTAACAGCATGTTAATGAAAATCTTTATGTAAATTAGTTTGAAAATCTAGATAAAATTGAAAAATTCCCAAAATATGATACTAAAAATACTGACTTACTATTTTTAAAGCACAAATGTGCCAGGTGTGGTGGTGTGCACCTACCATCTCAGCACCCCAGAGGCCAAGACAGGTGGAGCTCTGTGAGTTCTAAACCAGCCTTGTCTACAGAGCAAGTTCCAGGCCAGTCAGAGCTACGTAGTGAGATCTTTTCAAAAAGAAAAACAAACAAAAACCAAGCAAATGGATATTAATAAATTCCACTTTTATTAGAGAAGATGCCAAATTTTCTATATTGTGATTTTTTTCTCTTTTCTTTTTTTTTTTCCTTAAATTTTTCAAGACAGGGTTTCTCTCTGTGTAACAGTCCTAGCTGTCCTGGAACTCCCTTTGTGGACCAGGCCCGCCTCAAACTCAGAGATTTGTCTGCCTCTGCCTCCGAAGAGCTGCGATTAAAAGCGTGTGCCACCACCGCCCGGCTATATTGTGATTTTTAAATAATAAACCTATAACAAAAAGAACTGATTCCAAGTATATCTAAAGAATAATAGTATTGTCCAATAACTGAGATTAGCAGCAACATAATATGGAAATAAGCAAAGATAAAGGAAGCCATAAGCACAACCGTAAAATGTAAAAAATCAAGCTGGGCAGGGTGGCACACGCTCCCATCACTTGGGATGCTGAAATAGAACAGTAACTTTCAGGCTAGCCTAGGCGACACGGCAAGCAGGCCTCAAAAATTAGTATTCAATTAGAAACTCTACAGCGATTCTTTCTACATCTTTCAAAGATCCCCTCGAGAACCTGAGGAAATCGGAAAGGACAACCCAGAATACAAGTAAACAAATAACACGAAAGGCCTGAAGGAACCCCTAACGCCCACTTTCAGACAAACTGAACTTCAAGTTATCCAAAAGTCAATAAAAGCACCATAAAGTGCCTCCTATCATACATGAGACCCTGGGTTCCATTCCCAAGCACCAGAATGAATCAAGCAGATAAGCAGACAAAAGTGACATCACAAGAAAAATGGCTGTGAGACCAAATGAAATGCAAACACTGCGTTTAAAAAAAAAAAAAAAAACCTACAACTAATCATAACCCGGGGGCCAGGAGATACTTCGAAACTGAGAAACTTAACTGGGTAAATGAACAAACTCCAAAGCAATGCACAGATCTCTAAAGATCTTCAAGTCTAAGGTGCGTTTATATTTTTAAAGGCCATCCTGGTAGTGCCTGACAACTTCCTTTCTCCGTTTCTTCTCCAAGCTGGGCATCCTGCCTCTTGTCAAGGGATCCAGGGCATTTTGCATGGGCGCCCTACCTCTTCACAGGCACCCAGACCTGCTTCAGTATGGCAGCCCCTGGCAGTGTTGAGTGGCTGACTGCAGCACGTGGTGAAGTAACAGACCAGCACACAGGGATCTTGGGGGTCACTACTATGTAAAGTGAAAGGAATCCCTTCTAAAAGTTAAGATTGTTCTTTTAAGAACATGAATGGTTTACAACTGTTGTTCTTAAGCCGCTGTGAGAGCAAAGAAATGCAGGCAGAAGAGGCTCTGGAAAAGCAGTTTTAAAAAAATAAAGAAAAAAATTAATTCGGCACTGGGACCAATGATAGAAAAACCGAACCACTAATGACTGACTTTAACAAGAATCAAATGAATCTCTTTCAGCGAATCATTTTCACCTTTCCTGGACCAGTGGTTTGTTTGCTTAAGAACTTAAAACGCGACTTTACTTGTGGAAATTTTCGTCAGTTTCCTCCAGCCGCAAGAGGATCTCCTCTGCGCACTCCAAGGAGGGAGCGCCGGTGATTTTCTCCTTCACGCTCTGGAACAGCTGCCGGAGCATCGCCTGCAGCATCCCCTCATCCTCGCTGGAGAAATGGGCCATTCTGTGCAGCGGTCAGAGCTCAGCACCCACGGCGGCGGGGTCGCCACCAACACGCACCACTGCGCACGCGCGACCCGGTCCAATCGCGGCCGGCGCGCAGCGTCGTTCCCTAGGAAACCACCGCTAGCGTCCGGGGGCGGGGCCGCGGCTGAGTGGCTTCCTGCAGGGAAAAAAAAAAAAAACCGAGGCTCTGGGTTTGGAGACCCGGAGCAAGCTGAGGCCGGCGTTCAATGCTTGACGGTCGGCGGAACCAGCAAAGCTCAAGCCGCCCCCGACCTGAACGTCAGACACTTCAGGCTCTGCGGGACGAGCCTGACGGGAACGCACCGCTGCGTCTGACGTCAGCCCGCCGACGCGGCGCGGGTTGGGGTGAATCCAGGAGGAGGACCCGTTCCTCTCTGGACCTCGACCTGAGGGTGGGAAGGGGAAAGAGTGGCAAGCGGCAGTCAATAAAAGCCAACGGTGGTGGCGCACGCCTTTAATCCCAGCACTCGGGAGGCAGAGCCAGGCGGATCGCTGTGAGTTCGAGGCCAGCCTGGGCTACCAAGTGAGTTCCAGGAAAGGCGCAAAGCTACACAGAGAAACCCTGTCTCGAAAAACAAAAAAAAAAAAAGCCGAGCAAAGGAAGCCAGACTGTTTTCTTACCGCAGCTAATACCTGTTGAGCGGCTGCAGCTTACCAAGCATCGCCTGCCTGTGAAGATGGCCCTTCCTAAGGTGACAGATAAGAAATTCTGACAGATAACAATTCACTACGGGGCAGTTAAGTGCCTTACTAAAGAAATGCCCCGTGACAGACTGGAAGCAGCTCTCGAACCCTCATCCCTAGCTAAGGAGCTATGGGCAAATGGCTTCTGGGAGCTGGAGAGTCAGTTGTCTTTAAGGGTGTGGCCGTGCTCAAGTGGATGGCCCAACGTCCATGAGACTGACAGCAAAAAAAAAAAAAAAAAAAAGTGGACTCGGTATTTTGTTGTTTGTTTTGATTTTTTAGGTCTGGAGAGGTAGGTTGGTGGTTAAGAGCACTGGCTGCTATTCCAGAGGACCCGGGTTCAATTGCCAGCACCCACATGGTGGCTCACAACCTTCTGTAAGTCCAGTTCCACGAGATCTGATGCCCTGTCTCGCCTCCGTGGGCACTGCACATCTGTGGTTCACAGACATACATGCATGCAAACATTATACACATAAAATAATTTTTACAATCAATATTTTTAAAAGAAGGAAGGGAGTGGGGAGATGGAGTAGTGGGGGTGAATATGATCTTAAGACGTTATACCATGAAATTACAATATGTATAAAAGAAAGGGATAGTGGTGGAAGTTGCTGTGGAAACCTAAAATTCTGTTCATAATCTAGTAGGGAGTTCAAAAGAAACAGAACATCATCGGACATGAAAAGTACGGGAGTTTGAGCATGTTTATTATTCAGATGCCAAGAGCTACAGAACAACCCAACTGATGAATGTTTTGAGGTCAATAAACTTCTCAAACCCAGCCATATATTCTCTCCTCATACCAGATACACTTCTCAGGTTAGCCAGATTCAATAATTCTCCTGCCCATGCTAGTGCTTCCAGGAAAACAGACATTTCTTTCCAGCTTTGGCAGTATATTTAGTCAGAAAATAAATTTCTTTGTTTTCTTTTTTAGGTTCTTTGTTTGCTTTTTAGTATAAAAATTAGCTTTCATCTTTTTTATTCTTGAACCATTTCATACATGTATACACTGATTTCCATCCCCATTCCCTTTTATCTGCACTCTCACCCACTGAAACCCTTCTACCCAACAAACTCCCTCCGATTCTGATGACTTTTGGTTTCCCATTGACCCACTGAGTTTACTTACAGTTGCCTGTGTGAGCATTTTGGGGGAGGGGTTGTTTACTGAAATATGGGTAATTTATCAGTGGCAATACCACTGAAGAAAATTATACCTCCCCCTTCAGCACCCATTTCCAGCATATAGACTGCCAGTGAGGGGTAGGGCCTCATGACCTCCTAGGCCATGCAGGATAAGACCAGCCAAAGTCCACTTTTGTGCAGGTCTTGTGCAGATAACCACAGCTTCAGTGAGTTCCTAACTACAGTGTCTGTGCTATGTCCTGGATACACTGTCTCAAAGAAATCCTCTCCAACCTTCAGCTCCTGTATTCTCTTTTCACCCACCTCTTCAAGTTATTCCCTAGACCCTCCGAGACTGCAGCTGATCCCTGAGACAGAGCCTACCAGTGCCAATTGGACTAAGAACTTCTCCCTGAGACAGAGAGTCCATCAGCACGTATTGGACCAAGAGCCCCATTAGACCAAGAGCTCCCATTGGACCAAGAGTATCAATCAGACCAAGAGAGTCTCCCTCAGACACAGACGCCATTTGCACCTAGTGGAGGTAGAGATGGGTAGATGCCAGTGCAAAAATACAGTCAACAACATAAATATCAATATGGCGTGGTTCTACATCAGTAAGACCTGAACATCCCAACACAGAATAAGCAGAAGAAATCAACCTTAAGAATGACTTTAAGAAAATGATAGAGGCTTTTGAAGAGGAAATGAAATTTTCCCTTAAAGAAATCAAGGAAAAGACAAACAAAAAATTGGAAGAATTCAGTAAATCCCTTAAATAAAGCCAAGTAAAAGCAATTAAACAGGTGAAGGAGACAATTCGAGATTTGAAAACTGAAATAGAGGCAATAAAGAAGATACAAACTGAGGGAATGCTGGAAATGGGAAATCTGAGTAAGTGAACAGGAACTACAGATGCAACCATAACCAATAGAATATAAGAGATAGAAGAGAATCTCTGGCGTTAAAGATACAACAGAGGAAATAGATTCATCAGTCAAAGAAAATACTAAAGCCAAAAAAGTCATAACACAAAACATCCAGGAAATTTGAGACACCATGAAAAGAGCAAACCTAAGAATAAGAAGGAATAGAGGAAGGAGAAGAATACCAACTCAAAGGCACAGCAAATATATTCAACAAAATTATAGAAGAAAACTTTCACAACCTAAAGAAGGAAATGCCTATGAAGATACAAGAGGCTTACAGAATACCAAATAGACTGGATCCAAAAAAAAAAGTCCCCTCACCACATAATAATCAAACCACTACACATACATAATAAAGAAAAAAATATTAAGAGCTGCAAAGGAAAAAGGCCAAGTAACATATAAAAGCTGACCCATCAGAATAACACCTGACTTCTCAATGGATACTCTGAAAGCCAGAAGGTCCTGAGCAGATGTTATGCAGACACAAAGAGACCATGGATGCCAACCCAGACTATTATAACCAGCAAAACTCTCAATCACCATAGACAGAGTAAACCAAATATTCCATGATAAAACCAGATTTAAACAATACTTGTCCACAAATCTAGCCCTACAGAAAACACTAGAAGGAAAAATCCAACCCAAGGAAGTTAGATATACCCATGAAAACACAGGCAATAGCTAATCCCACACCAACAAATACCAAAAAAGGGACACACACAACACTATCACCAAAAATAACAGGAAATAACAATCATTGGTCATTAATATTCATTATAATCAATGACCTTAATTCGCCTATAGAAAAACACAGGCTAACAAAATGGACATGAAAACATGATCCATCTTTCTTCTGGATACAAGAAACACACCTGAAATTCAAAGACAGACACTACCTCAGAGTAAAAGGCTGGGAAAAGACTTTCCAATCAAATGGACTTAAGAAGCAAGCTGATATAGCTATCCTAATATCTAATAAAATTGACTTCAAACTAAAATCAATTGAATGAGATTAGGAAGGACATTTCATATTTATCACAGGGAAAATCCACCAAGATGAAGTCTCAATTCTGAACATTTATGCCCCAAATACAAAGGCACCCACATTTGTAAAAGAAACATTACTAAAGCTTAAACTGCACATCAAACCCCGCACACTAGTAGTGGGAGACTTCAACACCCCACTCTCACCAATGGACAGGTCTGCCAGACAGAAACTTAACAGAGAAATAAGGGAACTAATAGACATTATAACACAAATGAACTTAATAGATATCTACAGAACATTCCACCCTAACAACAACAAAAATATATCTTCTCAGCACCACATGGAACCCTCTCTAAAATTCTCAACAAGCAATTCTGAGCAATTCTTACCAGACACACACACAAAAAAATTGCATTTTATTGGACCTGTGTTTAATTGGACCACCATGGCTTAAAGTTAGATTTCAACAACAACAAAAAATTACAGAAAGCCTACAATCACATGGAAAATGAATAATGGCCAACTGAATCACCAATGGTTCAAAAAAAGAAAAAAAAGATTTCCTAGAATTCAATGAAAATGAATGTACAACATACACCAACTTATGAGACGCTATCAAAGCAGTGCTAAGAGAAAAATTCATGGCACAAAATGCCCAAATAAAGATGGAGAAATCTCACACTAGTGACTCAACAGCACACCTGAAAGCTCTACAACAAAAAGAAGCAAACTCACCCAGGAGGAACAGACACCAGGAAATAATCAAATGGAGGGCTAAAATTAATAAAATAGAAACAAAGATAACAATACAAAGAATCAATGAAAGAAAGAGTTGGTTTTTTTGAGAAAATCAAGATACACAAGCCCTCTCCAAATTACCCAAAAGGCAGAGAGAGAGAGAAGGAGCATCCAAATAAAATCAGAAATGAAAAAGGAGACATAACAGACAATGAGGAAATCCAGAGAATCATCAGACAGTACTTCAAAAACCTGTACTCCACAAAATTGGAAAATCTGAAAGAAATGGAAAATTTTCTGGATAGGTACCACATACCAAAGTTAAATCAAAACCAGAAAAACTGTTTAAATAGACCAATAACCCCTAAGGAAATAGAAACAGTCATTAAAAGTCTCCTAACCAAAAAAAAAAAAAAAAAAAAAAAAAAAAAAAAAAAAAGCCCAGGACCAGAGGGTTTCAGCACAGAATTCTACCAATTTTTCAAAGAAGAGCTAATACCAATACTCTTCAAATTGTTCCACACAATAGAAACAGAACGAACATTACCAAACTCTTTCTTATGAGGCTATAGTTACCCTGATACCCAAACCACACAAAGATGTAACAAAGAAAGAGAATTACATGTAGCTAGGGTTTTCCTGACTGGCCCACAGTCAGG